TTATAATTGTAACACAAATTAACAAACCATAAAATGCTATTTTATGTACAACCGATGTGATTATTTTAATAAATTGTTGTATTGCACTTATAATACAACCATCACTTTTTTAACAATATAAGATGAATCTGTGTTCAAGAGTGAAAAGGATGTTGTACCGTTTACTTCATCTTCCTGGGTGAAGATCAGGTTTGTGCCCATTGTGTCACAGTACTCCCCGGAGAATGTGTACCGGTCAAGTTGCAGCAGGGGCTTGTCTGTGTCTATACCCTGTTAGCAAAACACATCCAACTTGTATATAAAATTAAAGCATCACAAGGAAAAGAGTTCTTGTTTGTTTGAATCACATATGTTTCTTTCAAATCAATTTTCGTATGTTTTTATATATATTGGAAGTGTAGGTTTTTACATCAATGTATTAAACGTTTTTGATGACACATCACGGGCACATCAAATTGCAAGAGTTTCCATAATATAAAGTTTATAATTAGAATACTTTATGGCAAGAATTTCATGACAAATTGTTAGCAGAGACCTCTAAATTATAGGTATCTGGTACTCCCTTCTAAGTCATCACTAAGTGCTTGAAACAAGGATTGGAAAGCTCGTCAATTTTGTAACAAGTAGTATTAAAGAGGAATGCAATGGCCAGACAAAGGTCCTAACCGGGGACCCTCCAAAATCTAGACGGACGCTCTACCATTTGAGCTTACTGGTCTCCATCGATCGACCTAGTCATGTTACGTTAAAAAAAGTTATTTTCAGGTTTTGAAAAAAAAAGACAAAATGATTAGTTTTAATGTTTGCTGAATATGACCTAGTGTTATTACCAAAACATTCACAGTTACACTGTGGTAGACATTTAAAGTCACTCTCCAAAATATATACCCACCAGAACCTTACAGTCTCCGTCACATTGTGATATAAAGTCACTCTCTAAAATACCGGACAGTTCCACAATCACTGTGGTCTCCTGAAAGGAAAATAATAGGATTCATATTTTGCAAGAGTAGCCTCCCTTAGGCCAATGCCAGCTATAATCAGCTGATAATCGATTCTTTTATCCAAGACACTAAAACACAAGGAAATGAAAGCATTCAGAATCTTAAACAATACCATTAACAGCTAACGGTTAAATGATAAGAATAACCTAACTCCTTTGCCGATTGCATGGTCCTACAGTTACATAATTAGTTTATTATGCAGAGACATAAAGTAATGTTCGAACGTCTCTGGTTTATGGTTTTTCTTTCGTACGCGTTATTCCCCATCTTACCTCTTCCTCCCATTCATCAGATTCTGCCTCATTTCCAGTGTGTTCTGCCATGTGACCAGATTATGATAAAGTCGTTATTTGCTCTAAAGTCATCGCAAGGTAGGCATTACACGTCTTTCCACATGTTTTTATTTACACCGGAACCCGCCAATTCTGAAGGGAGACAATTCATGATATCAAATTATTCGATCACAGAGGTTGCACGGGACTAAAACAAGATAGTCATTCAATTAAGCAGGGACGTAATATATTGTCCCTGAATTAAGTAATTGCCATTTTGGAACTGACTTAAATTATATAGTTAGCTGACAGTGTTAATTCTAAGAATTATGAATTGAATGATTTATTTATGGAAAACTATTTGAAGTACTTTAAGGTGTTACTTTCTGACTGCTTTTATCTAAATTTATTTTATTTGCAATTTTATTGCAAATTACATAAGAATATTTTACATGGATCAAATTGCAACAAACACAACACTTGTAAACCAAAAGCAAGGTGTCAAAGTTTATTTTCGATGAGAGACTGGCTTCATTGGGTTCCGGGTGTTCCAATTGTGACATATCTTCACATTCCTTTGGAAATATAGGAATTAATATTCATTTTTAAGACGAATGATATAAATCCCGTATGATACTTAAGGAACAAATATTTAAAAGAACTGCATTTTTACATTCTGTTCACACTAATAAAATAACGTGGTGTAAATGGTGTATAGCGATTATTTCACAATAAGCAACAATAGTAAAAGAGTACAAGAATATCACAAAGATCACATACATATGTACATTTAAAGCTGGGAAATGAAATGAAAATATCCATCTTAGTCTATTTGAATAGTAAAGAGAGAAGTTGGATATGTTTTTAAAGGTGGATTTAACTGTTACTCAATGTTATTCTGCCGGATCTACATGTACATAAGGAGATTTTAATGTTACTTAATACCGTTCTGTCGGGTCTATATAACGATATTTTACTTTGACTAAATACCGCTCTGTCGGGTCTATATAACGATATTTTAATGGTACTAAATACCGCTCTTTCGGGTCTATATAACGATATTTTAATGTTACTAAATACCGTTCTGTCGTGTCTACATAACGAAATTTTACTTTGACTAAATACCGCTCTGTCGGGTCTATATAACGATATTTTAATGGTACTAAATACCGCTCTTTCGGGTCTATATAACGATATTTTAATAGTACTAAATACCGTTCTGCCGGGTCTATATAACGAGATTTGAAAAAAGTACTAAATACCGCTCTGTCGGGTATATATAACGAGATTTTACTTTTACTTATACCGTTCTGTCGGGTCTATAAAACGAGATTTCACTTTTACTAAATACCGCTTTGTCGGGTCTATATAACGAAATTTTTCTTTTACTAAATACCGCTCTGTCGGGTCAATATAAAGAGATTTTACTTTAAATAAACACCGTTCTGTCGGGTCTATATAACGGGATTTTATTTTTACTTAATACAGTACTGGCGGGTCTACATAACGAGATTTTAATGGTTCTAAATACCGTTCTGTCGGGTCTATATAACGAGATATTAATAGTTCTAAATATCGCCCTGTCGGGTCTATATAAAGAGATTTTAATGGTACTAAATACCGTTTTTTCCGGTCTATATAACGAGATTTTACTATTACTAATTACCACTCTGTCGGGTCTTTATAAAGATATTTTACTTTTACTAAATACCGCTCTACTTGGTCTAAATAACGAGATTTTACTTTTACTAAATACCGTTCTACATGGTCTACATAACGAGAATGTTGTTCTGGTTGTTTCGCAATTTTATAACGAAACAGCGAAATTATAACATTTAAAATCTGGTTATTCCGATGAGATAGACACCACCATACTTTGGATTTATTGCGTCGAGCTCCAAACTTTATTATTTCCAATTTCTGAACTTTGAAAACCTTGGCTGTTTATGTACATTACCTTACTAATTAAGACGTCACTGACGACAATATTGACGTGTTTTAGGCCTAAATACAATAAAAAGACTGTAAAATCATAATAACTGACATTATTCCCAAACGAAAAATTAATTTACAGAGCAGATTTCTCAACCATTAATTCGCTTTCAAACACACGTTTCTTAAAATGTCAAAGTGTAAACTGACGTAAGACTGTCTTGTGTGCACGTCTTCCCAGCTGAGCTTCTGGTTAACATAGCTATTGTTTTGTTTATCAAATTAACTCCAAATACGACAACGGGACACATCTCCAAATATAGCAAGCCACAAAGTTTGTTCATTGCGCCTTGCCGACAATTCACCTACATTTGGGTGAAAATGAAATTCACAGTGAAAGTGTCAAACGTCTCTACTTGTACCACCAGTTCCTATTTGTGGCGTACCTTGATATTCTTCGACTGTGGTAGTAATAGAAAAAGAACTATAGGCTATTGGTACGTAATTGTGACGTCAGTGAAGTACACGTTATGGCATTTGTCCCAGCAGTTTACATTCCGTTCTCCAGTACTTAATTACTTCATACTTCAGTTTGAATAGTGCTGGTGAAGCAAAATGCAATGAAATTCTGAGCTACCTAATAAAGGTAATATAATTATATTATCTAACGAAAAATCTCAAATCTTACAATAGTTTATAGTGCACAATGACTTTAACCATGTCTCATATATAAGATTATTTGTCAAGAATTCTTATGTCGATGTTGGATGAATGTATGATTAATATGTGTAATGGGTGAGCACGTGTGTAGGGTGTAGCTAGAATATGGTGGTTGTAACTAGAGTGTGTGAGGTGTAACTAGCGTGTGTAAGGTGTCGTGTGTAAGGTGTAACTAGAGTGTATAAGGTGTAACTAGCGTGTGTAAGGTGTAGTGTGTAAGATGTAACTAGAGTGTGTAAGGTGTAGTGTGTAAGATATAACTAGAGTGTGTAAGGTGTAGTGTGTAAGGTGTAATTAGCGTGTGTGAGGTGTAACAAGCGTGTGGGAGGTGTAACTAGCGTGTGTAAGGTGTAGTGTGTAAGGTGTAACTAGAGTGTGTAATGTGTAGTGTGTAAGGTGTAACTAGAGTGTGTAAGGTGTAACTAGATGGTATAAGGTGTAACTAGAGGGTGTAAGGGGTAACTAGAGGGTAAGATGTAACTAGAGGGTGTAAGGGGTAACTAGAGGGGAAGGTGTAACTAGAGTGTGTAAGGTGTAACTAGAGTGTAAGGTGTAGTGTACTAGAGTGTGTAAGGTGTAACTAGACAGTGTAAGGTGTAGCTAGCGTGTGTAAGGTGTAGTGTGTAAGGTGTAACTAGAGAGTGTAATGTGTAGTGTGTAAGGTGTAGTGTGTAGGGTGTAACTAGACAGTGTAAGGTGTAACTAGCGTGTGTAAGGTCTAGTGTGTAAGGTGAAGTGTGTAAGGTGTAACTAGAGTGTGTAAGGTGTAACTAGATGGTATAAGGTGTAACTAGAGGGAGTAAGGTGTAACTAGAGGGTAAGATGTAACTAGAGGGTGTAAGGTGTAACTAGAGGGTAAGATGTAACTAGAGGGTGTAAGGTGTAACTAGAGGGTAAGGTGTAACTAGAGTGTGTAAGGTGTAACTAGAGTGTGTAACTAGAGTGTGTAACTAGAGTGTGTAAGGTGTAACTAGATGGTATAAGGTGTAACTAGAGGGTGTAAGGTGTAACTAGAGGGTAAGATGTAACTAGAGTGTGTAAGGTGTAACTAGCGTGCGTAAGGTGCAACTAGAGAGTGTAAAGTGTAACTAAACAGTGAAAGGTGTAACTAGAGTATGCAAGGTGTAGTGTGTAAGGTGTAACTAGAGTGAGTGTGTAATGGGTAGTGTGTAAGGTGTATTGTGTAAGGTGTAACTGCAATATACAGGGTGAAAGTAGACTGCAACTGGAATGCATAGGTTGAAATAAGAGTGTAAGGTGCAACTGGAAAGTGAAGGGTATAACGAAAGTGCGTAATGTGTAACTAAAGTGTGTAATGTGTAACTAGAGTGTATAATGTGTAACTTTAGTGTGTAAGGTGTAACTAGCGTGTGTAAGGTGTAACTAGAGAGTGTAAGGTGTAACTAGACAGTGAAAGGTGCAACTAGAGTGTGTAAGGTATAACTGGAGTGTGTAAGGTGTAGTGTGTAAGGTGTATTGTGTAAGGTGTATTGTGTAAGGTGTAACTGCAATGTACAGGGTTAAAGTAGACTGTAAGTTGAAACTGGAATGCATAGGGTGAAATTAGAGTGTAAGGTGCAACTGGAAAGTGAAGGATATAACGAGAGTGCGTAATGTGTAACTAGAGTGTGTAAGGTTTAAATTGAGTGGAAAAGATGTGATGGAGTGTGTAAGATGTAACTAGAGGGTATAAGGTGTAACTAGAGGGAAATATGAAACTTGAGGGTATAATGTTTAACTAGAGGAAAATATGTATCTAGAGGTTAAATGTGTAACTAGAGGAAAAGATGTAACTAGAGGGTAAAATGTGTAACTAGAGGGAAAGATGTAACCAGAGGGTTAAATGTGTAACTAGAAAGTAAGATGTAACAAGATGGTGCAAGGTGTAACTAGAGAGTAAGGTGTAACTAGAGGGTAAGATGTAACTAGAGGATATACGGTTAAACTAGAGGAAAAGACGTAACTAGAGGGTAAAATGTGAAACTAGAGGGAAAGATGTAACTAGAAGGTATACGGTGTAACTAGAGGGAAAGATGTAACTAGAGGGTAAAATGTGTAACTAGAGGGAAAGATGTAACCAGAGGGTAAAATGTGTAACTAGAGAGTAAGATGTAACTAGATGGTGCAAGGTGTAACTAGAGGGTAAGGTGTAACTAGAGGGAAAGATGTAACTAGAGGATATACGGTTAAACTAGAGTAAAAGATGTAACTAGAGGGGGTACGGTGTAACTAGAGGGTATAAAATGTAACTAGAGGGTAAGATGTAACTAGATGGTATAAGGTGTAACTAGAGGGTAAGGTGTTACTAGAGGGTAAGATGTAACTAGAGTGTGTAAGGTGTAACTAGCGTGTGTAATGTGCAACTAGAGAGTGTAATGTGTAACTAGACAGTGAAAGGTGTAACCTGTGTGTAAGGTGTAGTGTGTAAGGTGTAACTAGAGTGTGTAAGGTGTAACTAGAGTGTAAGGTGTAGTGTGTAAGGTGTATTGTGTAAAGTGTAACTTCAATGTACAGGGTGGAAGTAGACTGTAAGTTGAAACTGGAATGCATAGGGTGAAATTAGAGTGTAAGGTGCAAATAGAAAGTGAAGGGTATAACGAGAGTGCGTAATGTGTAACTAGAGTGTGTAAGGTTCAAATTGAGTGTAAGGTGGTAATGAAATGTGTTAGGTTTACATAGAGTGTGTAAGGTGTAACTAGAATGTGTAAGGTGTATCTTTAACAACACCAAGATTTTTTATAATTTTTCCATTTTAGAACACCCCAGGAAAAGAAATTCCCCAATATTGGTCTGTGGATCCGCTACTGAAGGAGACAAAACATATACCACAGTGACAACGGTACATAATGACATTAGCGTTCAGCACATATCTATCTATATAGACCTACTATTAATCACACTGTGTTGTTGTAACAACACAAAGCAGTTATTGTATCAATCACTGAGTTGGGTCATCATATCACGTGTATTCTATTGGTCTTGTTTGTTTTCATGAGTATAATTATACTCATCATCGTTTTCAAATGCCAGAGGATTGGAATTGTGTCCATGTTCATATTGGTAATAGTCTTGCTCATTTTCTTGAGTAGGAAAACGGTCGTATCCATGGCCAGCTTGATATACTTTATAACTACGGTCTACATTGGGATGGTTGTCGTCCTTACGACCTTGTTCACCAGGAAGTAACCGTTCTTTCATTTTGTCCATTTCCTCTTCTGCCTGCATTTTTTCTTTGTCGACTCGGCTAACGCATACTACAAACAGAACAAGAATGAAGCCACCGATAACTAAACCACACATTACTATGGTAACAGGATGCATGGAACAGTAGGTCGATATCTGTTCTAGTTTGGAAGGAGGTGGCGTTACGTGTACAACGTACCGAGCTGTTTTCCAAGTCCTTTTTGTTCCATCTTTCAGTTGGTGTGACACAATACATGTCCAGTAACCTGCAATGCTTGTATTTGCATGCAAGAATCTGTCATCGCTTGCTTGACTTGCTGATATATTTGAGCGCACGATGTTGCCAATGTGCCACCAGGCTCGTGTAGCCGATGGAAATATGTATCCAAGTGACGCACTGTTTGACTGTAGCGTCATAACACTTGTTTCTTGGACGCGCATTAAATCGTTTGATTCGACAACGAGAGTGAACAGAGCTACACTTTTGAACTGTTTGGGTTCGTATTCGATCCTACAAATGAAGACACCCTGGTCAGACGTTTTTAAACCTTGAATAGTCAACAGGCCCATCTGATAAACCATCCGATCATTCTCTATTTCCAGAGCATTATTATTATGGACCCATTGGCGAGACGCTCGAGCGTATTGTTTAAATATGGCCTTCGTCACATCTGTATCACAATCTAATGCGATGTAACCACCGAAGGGTTTTGTAAAACTGTGATGCTCTCTTTCAAGTGCCCTATCCGCCTTTAAATTCAAATTCTTTGCCAGTGGTAGATTTGCCACCACCTGGCGGGGATAACGATCGTGTCCACGAGCCGCGCCATTATCAGTTCCACTACGGTATACCTCTGTTTGGTTGGATTGCACAGTGACTGCTGTTGCTTCGTAATATATTTTGCGTCTACCTAGAATATAAAACAATAGCGTTTAAATAACACAGTACTACTTATAAACAGTAGATCCAGTAACGTCGTTAGTTTTTCAACGAAATTTACGGCCGGTCTGACGTCTCTGCAAATCCAGTGCACTGCTTGGCGACCAATCTCCCCTCAAGTAACAATATTCTCGCCATGGCACAGATGATCCAAAGAACAAATTATTATCCTTTTCCGTGTTCGAGAAAAAAACAGATTCAAACCCTCTCAACAACAAGTCTCTTGATGAACAGGACATGCGTGCACTGAGCCATACATTAGGAGTCAATCCGATAGGAATTCTAGCCCATTTCCGTATGGGACGAAGTAAACCTGATTCCATCAGACCACTAGTTGCTGTTCTAGACAGCAAACAACAAAGGAAACTCCTGCTCGAAAATGCCCGTTCTATAAAAGACAGGGCCCCAGAAAGACTCAATAGTGTAATCCTCACTAAGGATCTGACAAAACAACAGAGAGAAGAAAAGAGACAACGACTAGAGAACAGAAGGCCCAACCCACACCAGGTACCTGCCCCATCCAGTCTCACAAACAACACTTCAGACAAGAGAAAGAACTCACAGGTAGTAACAACACCAAATCACCCAGTCTCTAAAACAGCCTCAAGTGATGTCAAAAAACAACTAGGTAACAAAACAAGAGTACCACCAACAGCTACCAGGTCTGTATATGCCCCACTCCAAACCAAAACAGCAACGTCCATCACCAGAGTCAAAAATGATAAAGGAGAAATGACCACCTCGGACTATGAGACGGCCAACGTTATGAACAATTTCTTTGCTAGTGTATTTGTTGACGACAGCGAAGTAGTTTTGCCTGAGTTCGAGGAAAGACCATACGATACCTTGCTTACCGACCTATCAGTAACAGAAGATCTTGTGTTGGCAGCAACAAATCTCCTGGTCCAGATAACATCCATCCAAATTTCGTCTCAAAAACAATAGAAACATTAAAAGAACCCCTAACAATCATCTTTAACAGATCCATCCAAGAATGAACCCTACCAGATCCATGGAAACAGGCTCATGTCTCACCAATATTTAAAAAAAAGGTTCTAAAAGTGACTCGGGAAACTACAGACCTATAAACTTGACATCAGTTCCATGCAAGATTCTACAACGCAAAGTTCGAGATGCAATCTTAAAACACATGGACAAGAACCATCTCTTCACCCCC